ACAGGGCTGAACACACTACTGACCCCCGGGGTACAACAACAGTTACCAGCTTCCAGCTAGACTTCACACCACTGATTGCCAATCCCTGTGGTCCATCTGCTCGACACATTTTATGCTGACCTCACTATTTGCACACCCAACCCATAGTGCAGCAGCTTCTCCACGAGGATGTCACAGGAGACACCGCTGAAAGACTTACTGATTAAAGTATCTACTGCCCTCCCTCCCCTTGCTTACCAAGCCAGTCATTTCATTGTAGAAAATTATCAGGTTGGTCAAGAATGGCTTCCCCTTGGTAAATCCATGCTGACTACTCCTGATCATTTTCTTTAATGTGTCTTAGAAGGGTTTCCAGGATTAGCTGGTCCATCACCTTCCATCCCTCTGGGGGATCAAGGTAAAGCTGGTCAGGCTGTAGTTCCCTGATAATTTCTTCCTGCCCTTTTGAAAACAGAAAAAACATTGACTTTCCTCCAGTCTACAGGCACTTCTCCCAGTTTCCTCAGTCTCCCAGTCCTATGATTATTGAGACTGTCTTCACAATGGTATCAGCCAGCTCCTTCAGCACTCATGGGTTCATTCCCAGAGCATTACCTATGTCCTATTTACGTAAGTATTCTCTGACCTACACCTCTTTCACATCTTCCCTGCTCCAGACTTTTCCCTGTGTTCTACACCTCCTGAAGGTCTTTGCTAGTAGAGATGGAAGCAAAGGCAGCCTGCACAACCCTCAGCCTTTCTCACATTCCCTGTTCATTCAGCCATGAGACCACATTTTCCCTAGTATTCCTCCTGCTACTGGTGTATTAACAGAAACAATTCTTGCTGCTTTTGACATCCCTGACCAGATTCAACTCCAGGTAGAGTCTGACTTTCGTAATCACATCCACGCATGCTCAGACACATGCTGCCTCTATACTGCTCCCAGGTAATCTGCTCCTGCTTTTGCACATTTACTTTTAATGTCGGACTTTCATGATGAGCTCCTTGTTCATCGATGCACAGTTGCTGGCATTTTAGCCTGACTTCATAAGTGTTGGGATGGACTGCTCTTGAGCTCTGAGGAGGTGATCTTTGAGTATCAATTTGCTGCATCCCTCCAGGGCTTGACCCTGGGGGATTCTTCCAAGTAGATCCCTGAGGAGGCAGAGCTTGCTTTTCGAAAATCCAGGGCAACGATCTTACTTTCTTATTCTTAAATCCAGCTCTCAGAGAAAGGCGGCACTAATATCACTAACCGACTGAATAAGAAATAGATTACATTAGTTTCTGTCAGAGACCATATAGCTTAAAGGAAACATTGCTAAACTGGCACAAACACAGTGAACTTCTTTATTGAAAAAGTTATTACCTAGAGAGCCTTAAAAGAAGCCCTCTCTGCCCAAAAATCACTAAATACCTAAAAGGTTTAAGAAAGTATCAAAAATGTATTATAACATATCTTACTCTTCCGTTAGACTGACATTAATATGGAATGATTTTATTGGTAATATATGAAGAACATTTATTATTAAATACAGTGCTATCTTTTTAATTCAAATGTTTATTCACATTTCTTATTATCTTAATTATTATTATTGGAGCACATTATGCTTACAAGCTAATTCAATGAAATTGCATTTATGTCTGAGGCTTATCAGTTAGTGTCAGCTGGACACAATTTATTTGTTTTTTTACATCTTCTTGATTGTTGTTTTCACTGAATAATTGCAGAAATTCCAAGTGCAACAACAATGTTGCAGAATTTTTAAAAATTTTGCAAAAGCAGGCCATTATAGCCAATAGAGAAAGAAAACACATGGCTAAAAGGTACTTAAATTATCATCTCAAATTGCTGACTGATTTTGTCCACTGTTTAATTTACTACTAATTTTCCTTAAAGAAACTGTCCATCTCTTCCCTTGTTTGTACCCCCCTCCCTTTATCTCTGAACCTAATGGCTTTGAAACTACCTTCACACGTTTAAAAAGTAAGACATTCTCATTATCTTACATTTTGAACATGCAATTAAATGTTTAGGGTTTTTTCCCCCTTAACCATGTGCTTCATTACTACATCCAGCTATATGTTAATACTGGATTCAGATATCATTCCCTACACTTTGATAATTTATATATTGAAGAGTCATTTATTATACACCATATTCTTGGTATTAATGTTATGTAGCCTTTAACCTGTTTCTTTCCTTCCCAAATGTTCTCTAGGTAGCAGGTTTTAGCCATTTTCAAGACTATCACCTCAAAAAACTATAAACAGAGAAGATAAAATGTCTTTCTTGACTTATACCACAGCATATGTTGTCAAAGAACAAATCAAGGTCCTTGGATTAGTAACAGTGTCAAAAACTATCAGAGTATAAAAATTACCTTTCCTGCCCTATTCTATGAAGGGTTCAATTGAGTCTTTATATACTAATAATACCTGTTGGAAAGTTTTAATTTAGTCTGTTACAGGAACATTTACTTCATGTCCTGGATCACCTTAAGTATCAAAACCTTTCTGTGAGTCACTACAGTCTTTAATGACATTAAACCTTAATGTCATAAACATAAACCATACTGTCATAAAACAGTCTTCACCTACAGACATGGGTGAATAATGAAAGAGTCTAACAGGAGACAAACAGAGCTGCCAATTTTTTTCAGCAATGAAACAAAAATATTTCCTCTCAGATCTAAACACCATCCTTGCACAGAACAGACATGTATCCAGCCTAATATCTAATACTCTCTGGACATTAACTGAGGCACACCATCCTAGCTATCTGGGAAGCCCTTTAATAAGTAGGTAGATCCATAATGCATCTGAAGACCCATTAACTAAGAAATATTTTTTTTAAAAAATAAATTCAGAACATGATATTTTGTATGTCTGTCCCATTATACTAAGAGTTCCAAGATTAGCTACAAGATATGTAAGCATAAGCTGATCAAATACAAGAAAGTTCACTACTATTACTTTACATTTTTCAATATTTCTAAGAAAAGGAAAAGATAATTTGACACTCATGCAGAAAAACATCTAATTTTAATTATTTACTTAATTTAAACAAGATTAATGGGAACAGATTTTTTTAATTTGCTGAAAAGGATATGTAAAACCCTCAAGTTTGAACAAAGATAAGCCTAGGAGTTAAAAGGATGTAAAAATAGAAGCAAAATGCTAAGCAGAGTTACTCCAGTTGCCTTGGCCCCAGAGTAATGCAATTTCACAATTCTCTGTAGTCAATAATAAACATCCTCAATTCCTACTTTAAAAACTGCAAATATGCATACGTAACACTGGGGTTTTTGAAATATTGATATACACACAATCTCTCACTTCTCACATGAAAAGGCTCAAGCACCCCATCTCTTTCAGACTCTCCTCAAAAAATCCAGACTAGTAGGCAAATATAAGATCCTTGCAAAACCTTCACAGACAATATATTTAAATGTATTCCACTTTCCAACTCACAGACTCAATCAAAATCTTTACGATATGGAGAACACTACAGTCATCATGACAATTAAAAATGTAAATCACAGAATCCTAGAATCATCAAGATTGAAGAGACATTTAAGATCATCACGTCCAACCATTAACACAGCACTAACTCCAAAAAAGGATTCTTACTAACACCTAATGCTAGAGGCACTAGCAACCAAAGTAGGCATTTCAACACTAGCATCATCATCTATTTCTGTACTAATTTCCAGAAGAATTAAAATATAGGTGGCAAAGCCCTTCAGTACTCTTGATTATGTGTCCTACTGGTTTACTCAATTTCCACTAAAAATTAAAAATAAAAAAAGCTTTTAATGAGCTAATTTATACATCTTACAGATGTGAATTTAACCCCATTGCAAGTAACAGAAATTGATAACTTCATGCAGTATAAATGAGCACTAAAAAAAAACCTCAAAAAACCCATTTAACTTTTCCTCCCTTTAATAGCTTATTTACTACTCTAATTAAGTATCAGCAATGAGACTTTCAGTTGTTTTACTACTAATCACTTCATTTGATAAACTAGTCATGATGGACAGGCATGAACTGAAAAACAAGCTGCTGCTGAGGAGGAACTGCAGCAGAAGTATGAAAAACAACCTGTAGGAGAAAACACAGATGAAACAGATCTTCAAAAAGAATAAAAAATGCATTAGTATTTAAAAGAAAACTTTATTGACAACTGTTGTTAAACTGTATGTCAAAAAAAGCTCCAAAAAAGCTTGACAAGAACTAACCTCCAAGGAAATCAAATGGCAAAGGACTTTGGACTCAAATTATAGTACAAATTTTATCATTTAGTGCAAATTAGTCATACTTCACCTCTGACCTTAGCGAACACCTCCCTCACACTGATAGGTAAAAGATCATAGAAGAAATACACAGTGCTGTGGTTTCCAGTATGGACAATGACATAAACAGAATTTTGTCTGTTTGTCAAAACACATCGGCCATTTATTCAGAATAAATCCACATTTGTTTTGTGGTGAACCAATGGTTTTTACAGGCTGCCCCAAACTGGATTAAGAGAAAGTGGAAAGCTGCCATCCTCATTTTTAGGTTTCTTTGCCACCTACAGTTGGCAGTTAGAGGAATGACCCTTGAAGATTATAAATGTTTCAGTCTCTCAGCTGATACTAGAATTCAGATGATAATACCGCTCTGACTGGATATTATACCCTCTCATCTCCGCAGAGGCCGTCACCAGGCTCTGTCCTCTTCTAACAGGCCTAGGCACAGCTGGAAAGCTCCCCGTCACTGCACGCTGCGGCACCAGGAGGCTGAACGCCCGCGGGACTCACGGAACGGGGGCGGCCGGGAAGTGCAGGAGGCCAAACACAAGTTTTTATAAGCAGGCCCTGCATGAGCTCCGGGGCCTGAGCCAAAGGGACTGCTCCGGCCTGCCAGGCCGCGGGAGGTGCCTGATGGGCTCCGCCGAAGGCCATGGCCCGTGCAGCGGCTCCCGCCCGCCGCAGCCGCTCCGTCTCATCCCGCCCCGCGCCCCGACTGACCTGCGCCGCTGCCGGGCCCAGCCCTGCGCGACTCCGCGGCTGCGCCGGGCTCAGCCTCGAGCCTCCCAGCGAAGCTCTGGCGGACGGAGCCACCTCGGGCGCTCTCCCCTCAGCCGCCCCGGCTCGCCGGCACCTTCCTGCCAGCCGGGTCACAGCGGCAGCTGTCCAGAGCGGCCGCACGGCCCGCAGTTCGCCGGCCTGCGCCCGGTGCGGCTGCGCAGGAAGCGCTCCGGGAGACCGGGACGGCGCGCGGGAAGAGCGCTCTGCACGGCGGCCGTGCCAGGGCTGGCCGCGCGCTGCTTGACTGACAGCCCGAGCAGCAAATCAGCGGCCCTGCGCGAGGCAGAGCAGCCAATGGCGACGGGGAGGCGGGGCGGGGCCGGGGGCGGCGATGCCCGGGCGGGGGGGCCGCCAGCCAATGGCGACGGGGAGGCGGGGCGGGTCCGGGGCCGCTGATGCCGGGTCGGTGGGCCCGCAGGGACAGGGATTGTGGTGCCGCTGTTTGGGGCCCGGCCGGTGCTGGTTGCGGCTCCTGCTCGCTGAGGCCGCTCGTGTGGGAGTGAAGAGACTCCTGGCCTGGGGTAGCGTGGTCACCGAGCAGTTTGGAGTCGAGGGCAGTCTGGGGTGGAGTCCTTGGGGAGGCGGGAAGCCTGTGGAGCGTTTGCTGGCAGGATTCACAGGTTTGTGAAAGGAGAAACAAGCAGACTGGGAAAGGAGCCTGGCAACAGTTCCTTAACAAAAAGCACTGCAGGCAGTATTTCGCAACCAGTTGCACTGTTCGGTACGTGGTTGCTCGGTTAGTTACTGGCATCGGTGTCAGGTTTTCCCTCACGGGCTCGAAAGTGTTTTAGGTGATTCAAAAGCTGTAATTTAATTCTGCTGTACACCTTAGGTGAGGCAAACTGAACTGTGAAGTTGGATATTGTTGTTTTGGAAAGCAAATTAAAGAGAAGTCTGTGTGTTGGGGGGAATTGTCAATGTTTATTAAACAAAAGTTAAAAGATACTCAAATAGTGGTTTATTTATTTCCAAACCACAGCTATGTTTAGTTTTGACCTATTCACGAACACAGATTCACAGGTGACATTAAGGGTTGCGGTTCCTCCGATAACATCCTGAGGTTATCCCTCCTGAGGAGGCTGTGGGGGCATTCCATAGGCACACACTGTTGGATTCTGTACTTGTTTGTTTTGGATGTTTTTCTAACTCAAAAGAAATTAAATAGCACTCTGGACTACCTCAGGTATCACAAGATAAAATGCAGACATTTATCTATATCTGGAAAGAACAGTTTTGTTCAATATTTACATATAGTTTTTCACAATGACAAAGCAGTTAGGCAAAACAGATGCCTAACTTTGTTAATAATGAGTAATTCCTCTTTTAGAATACTTGTTTGAAGTGAATAGGGCTAATTCACATGACTGATTTCACAAAAAGGGATTAGATCTTTTTGTATGAAAAGTGCATTTTAAGCAAAATGAGTTAGCTATCTTTTGAGCTAGAAAGACTTTTGTTTAATGGAAAGACATTGTAATGGAAAGCTTATTAACCTAATTAAAAACAATCACTCCCAAATATTTAAATAATATACTATGTACACCAAGATATTTGGGGTAATTTTTGCTATGTTTTTAAAACAAAACCATGTAATAATTTACCTCTGCTGAGAAGTAGTTAATTGAACCATGGAATTAATTTATTATCATTTTTATCATTGTGTATTTGAATTAGAAACAAAGAAAAACACTTCCTTCTGTGGGGCACTGTGGAGAAGTTATCATTTAAGATCTTGTGAAGTGAGACTGTGTCACATGGGCATAGCAGAGAAAGGCAACAGAGCAGCTTAAGAGTGAAGCAATATGCTCTTTCTTGGGGCTGTTACTGTGGCTGTCTCTGGGAGCCAGCTTTCTAGGTGAACCCTTGCCTCAGTTCTGAGGCAAGCAGAGGCTTGCAGAGCCAAATCACCCTACAGATGCAGCTGGCTATCTGTGTCCTTCACAGGAGGTCTGGACAAAAGCTTGCAGGGCTAAGTCAACGCTTGGAATACTTACAGACCCTGTAACAGGAAGTATCAGAGGGCAGTGCTGAACAAGTCTAACTTGTAGAGTAAGAGTTTTGACATGAATTCTGGAAGCTGGATTTTAGAACAGTTCATGAGTAACTCTTGATGAAGACATCTTTTTTTGTTTACTCCAGTTTCTGAAATAAGCAGTAAACAAATAAGGGTACATCATATCCGAAGTGTGTCTTCATTTCTGTACTCATCTGACACACATTTCCTCCCACTGTTACTTCTGCTCTGTTTTTATGGAGATCATCTGGCCTTCATGTTCTCTCTTCATTCTCTCTCCCCTTAGGCCTGGATGTGGATAAAGACAGCAAATTCCTTGCTGAACAGGTTGGTTTTACAGGCCGTATAACCTTATAGTTTTGGAAACTGGAAAAGAACCTGTTTGCTGAAACCTGAAAAAAAAAAAAGAGTTTTCAGGTATGCTCTCTAAAGAAATAGCAAACTAAGATTACCTTTCTCTTTGAAACACTTTAAACACCCTTTCCTCCATGCAAGCAGTACTTAAATTGTTGTGGTTTGCTGGTGGTTCAGTAATCAAAATGTTATTTGTAGTGTCTTTGTAGTAGGCTGCACAGATTGGGAGTTTAGTCACTGCTGTTAATATTCTTCCTGAAGCAGAAAAACCACAACTAAGGGATTGAAATATGAAGAAAGAGAGGGGGATGGAAGAAAAATGAAAAGCTAAAGCATACCTTTGTCCAAGGTTTTCATTTGTGTGTAACCTTCCCTGTCATTTCTACCCTTCTAATTCTTTCAGGATATGATAGAAAAATGTCCCCTCTGACTATAGAAAAGCACTCTCAAATTTCTGTGCCACTACTTGAAACACGATGATGCTTTTAATGCAGACATTTTCCATGGCCTTAACTGCTCACAGGTCTGTACCAAACCAAAGTAGCCACTGTGAATACCTTGCAAGTACTGTTCATAAACATTTTTATAATGTTTGACCTTAAGAGTGACCTGAAGATTAATGGATATGTTGTATCAGTTTTAATGGGTCTCTTCTCCCTTGGATACACACATGTGACTCCCATTAGTCTTAATGGGAGTTATATGTGTGCCTAGAGGTTAGACAAGATCTCTAAAGGTGCTGTTATGCTCTCTTGTATTAATGATCTCATAATTGCTGAGGTGCTGCACCTTTGCATTGAAAGCAAACTAATTAAATTGGTCTAGTCTAAGTTGGTATACTAGCATATCTGGCACGTCTGTGTGTTTTCCTGTGGGTCCCTCAGTACACAGAGGTAGAAGCCAAATTGAATGCAGAATTTAAATTTTACTTGTGACTTGACTTTCTTTGTAATTGTTTTTTGTAATCCAAAATTAATTCATGAGTTTGATTCCTAAGAAAGATGATTGTTCATGTATGTACAGAGGAAGAAGCTGAATGTGGTGTTTTATTTTATCATGAAAGCATATATTGAGAAAAGGGACTGAATTGATACTCATTTTGATGTTCCAAATCATGCACTTTGAAAAAAGACAGTTAGGTCTAGAGGATTAACATGAAGCTTGATGTTGAATTTTAATTATGGCTTTGTTACTCATTTCTTCCAAGAGCCTTTAGACAAAGCACTTCACCTTTCTTTGATTTCCAGGTATGTAAAATATCTGCTTGCTTCTTAGAGTTGCAGACATAAATTAATATCTGTTCTGTGCTTTGAAATTTTAAAAGTGGTATCTTTAACTATATTCTGCTGGAATAATCACTGAAGTACAGAAGGAGGAAAAAAATCATAGTAACCACCTGATACAGCCAGGCAGAAGCTCTAGTGATGATGCAGATCTCTTGAGAAGGAGTGATTCTGTTCCACAGTTTGTGATGCATAAATCATCACTGGTGATGAAAAATTTTTGGTGTTATGTATATATATATAATCTATTGTTTGGGCCAGGTTTTTCAGTGAAAGTGATTGTACAATAGGCAAATTTATATTGTACAGACATTTGACATTTTTTTCAATCAAATAATGATTAAAATTTGATGGTCAGTCTGGAAATTTGTGCAATGTACTCTGTGATTGTCTCTGTACTTTTGAAAATAAAGCACGATGTAGTTTTCTTTGAAAATACAAATTTGGGGGAAGAATTTGGGATTTGTTGGCAGTTCTGTACATATTTTAGTTCTATGTCTGATTACTCTAACTGATGGTTACTCTAGTCAGAACTCAGTTCTGTAAAACTGTTCTGTTTTATAGAACCTCAGTTCTGTAAAAGGGTAGCTGAGCTGGTAAAGTATGAGCTTGCATTTTGTGCCTTAACTAAGAGTTGTAAGCTTTAGTATTCCAAATATGTAGATGGTTTAGGCATTGGCATCCTTGATTTTTGACTGTAGGTGTTACTGAAACAGTGCAAGTGGAAAACGTTTCTGATACCATCTCAATCCATCTGAACTTGTCTCAAGTGAAAACGTGATTGGTGATATCATCTCAGTAGCAATTTGTATGCACTTGCCCCCAGCGCTCTTCAAGATTTTAGAACCTTGTCATTAGGTAGTATTCCATACAGTTGTTGTGAATACCAAGTATATTAGAAGTTACTGATTATGGCTGTGGAAAAGGTCTGGTATGTTGCATATGCCCATACAATTTTCAGGATGCTAATAGATCACTCTAGATTAATGATTCCTGTATGAAATTAAAAACAAAATATCAAAAAATATAACTCAACAAGCTTTTGTTGCTTTTGGTAACTGGTACTTTTTATTACCTTTATTTTCACACTTCAAAGATGGGAGAAATGGGGTGATTAAATTCGTAAGTGGTCTATGGAAAGACTGAGTTGATATGCTTTCTCAGGCTTATGTTGAAACTAGGTAAGAAAATTAGTAACTTAGTAGAAAAATGGTAGATGTCAGGGTGTGCATGTTAATAGGTTAAAAAGGGCCAGAGCTTGTCTTATTATTTTGTAATTTTTATGCAATAAAATTTAAATATCACTGTGCTTTCTATTTTTTTTTCAATTTTTCTGTGGGATAAGGAACGGAGTTCAATTCTGCCTTCTTTTGTGGATGAATAATGTGTCCCATTCAGTTAATTTTGCAGCTACTGTCACAGAAAAATGCTGAAGGACTTCAGTGATTTTTAACTCAATTTTCAT